GCCCCATCCACAACGGATACGATCTATTCTTGTACCATCTTGTTCTCCATCTTACAGGAAATGAACGCGACTTCTGAGACCGATGCGGTTGCGAATTTGCTCAAAAAGTTGTACAAAGAACTGCCGGCAGATTCGGTTTTCTGGTTTCTAAAGTGTTGGTTGTGCAGCGAGGACAGCCTGCAGGACCCAGACTCGTGTGTAATCAGTCGTGGGGATGCCAAAGGTCGCATGAGACGGATTGATGGGGGTAAAGGATCCGACAAAGTTAGTCGCACAGTTGCTCGTTTTTTTATCCAATCACATCACAGTGGTTCGTGTAAACTAGACTTAAAATCCTGTAAGCAACTTCAAACCAAGGCACACTTTAAAGAACAGGATGTTTTCCGTGCCCCGTGATGTTTTCACAGTGTTTCTACTCCCTGGTGCCAACAGCCTACCTTTTTAAGCAAATGGCCGGCGGGTACATCGTTTTAGGTCCTCAGTGTTCATCCCACAGTTCATAGAACACAGGAGAATGAGTTCGGTTGAGTGACCAACTCTCTGAGTAGATTTTACTGATAACAGGCCAATGAACTTCAGATTAAAGCATGGTGAGGTCCCACTCTTCGGAACATGAGTGCAGAACCTTCGCCTACAGCCTCGAGAATCAAATTTCCATAACACGGCTGAGGGCAACTTTCAACAACTGTCTTGAGTTACAGGTTTTCCTATATATTTGTGGCTTGTACGTGTTTCACACCAGTATTGTCCCTCTCAAAAACGAGCACACCCTTCGGGGTGTGAAAATAAATTCGTCGTGTAACACAATAAAAATCTGTTAAGATTGTTTCCGAAATTCGTTTTACGGCACGATTGAGCATCCGTATGACCCAGAAGAGCCAGTCACCAAACCTACCGCCGCACAGAAGTAGTACGCATGGTTTGTTCACCTGAGCACCTGAACCGAATATTCACTCGGACTTTTTCGCTCGGGCTACTGTGTCAGCGATTTCTTGTGTATTTGGGCTGACTGCTTCTTCGTGCAGGTACTTTGTGCACATTTGTTGCAAATTAACTACGTTATTTCTCTGAATTTTATGGATTCCTTGGTTCGCTAGTGTCGTGAGCCGATGAATGTAGGGCGCCGCCGTGGTTCACTTCAATATATAGATTAGAATACATATGCTTACGTACTTCATTCCACTATGGGTTGTTCTTTGAGGATGGATTGCGTTATCATCTATGAAGATCTTTGAATAGAAATATTTGGATGCTTTAGTGTCATGCGATATCTTAGCGAGGCATCCTCCCAAAGTACCGTTAACAAAATTGTTGAAGGCTAGTCAAACAATGCTCCCTTTTCGCATCACACATTTTTCGAAAGTAGACCGAGCTCGCTGTGCACTATCAGTCTGATAGCATTCCACATCAGCCTTTAACTGAATTTGTTTGTCCACTGGTGTCCCTATCCAAACCATCTCAACCGTGGGCTAAGTTGCTGGGTCATTTCCTGTCGGTGTCTGGGGGCCTGGTAATATACCAGCCAACCTACAGCCATAGTACAGCTAACGGTACCCAGTAAACACGTCACCGCCGCACCACCGGTGGCAAATAGGGGTGGCGTGCTACACTTGCCACCGATAGCTCCACCGGTGGCTAAAAGCGGCCAAAGGTGGCAACCCGAAAACTTCATGATATATTTAATCGGTGGTGCATTCAAACAAATCGGTTTCAAAAATTACTTTGTAAATGGAACTCCAGTATCCAGAGTATCATGTTACATTTGTTTTCAGAAGGCTTTTATGCAGCACATGCTATGTTTGGCCTCTATTCACCAACAAAATCAGTGGCAAAGCTAGCCACCGGTGGCACTGTTTACTGGGTACTCTTGTATCACATCACCAGCCGGGTCGCCTTGACTGCGGCATAACTAACTAAGTAAGTAAATAAGTAAATAGTTCAGCTGTAGCACCCTTTCAATGTCTAGCTGCCACTCAACTAAGGGAGAACGAGGGTTGGAATACTATCAGATTGCCCAAGCTCAGATGGGGACGTCGAGAGGCAGAGGTTGGGTTCGAACCACAGATCTTCTGGCCAGTAGATTCGCGCTCTAACAACTTGGTCCATCTCGCATTGCTGTTTGGATACTGGAGATGTGATAGAAGCCTCAACGTTGTAGCCATTCTCAGGACAATATCGCATTGCGTGAACTGGTGACGCCGGAAGCCTGATTAGTCGGTAGAGGCTCAGCTAATTGAGTCCGTGGTTCTTGTAAATGGAGGTTTTGGATTCGATTCCACGTTCTACTAGTCCTCTTGTTTCTTGCTTTCACCAGGGTACATGAAACAGTTATGGTTCATTATCATCAAATATAAAGCGTGTACAGTACGTGCATAGACAGGAGACATGTTATATCCGGTGATTATCCATTCCGCGAGTCGTTCATTTAAACCTTACTGAATGCCGTAAGCCTGACATTTTTCAGATTCTTCCGTCTCCATCCATAGTACATGTATCGTCTCGGAAACTTGTCTCACACTTACCCGTCTAGCTTCATAAGCTCCGTGTTGCTTGATCCAATGCTCAATGAGCATGGCTCCTAATGTGGTGGGCTTGCATCAACAGGTGTTAAATCTAGCACCGCTCGAGTGTCTACCCCTGACCTGGCTGAATCAAACTGAACCAGATCTTCCCATCCCATTTCACCGAAAAGTATATCTAGGCCATCTAGGGGAGAGATGGCCCAAGTGGTTAGAGCGCGAATTTACTGACCGGAAGGTTCGTGGTTCGACCCAACCTTCTCGACTTCCCCTGTCTAGGCTCGGGCAACCTGACAGTGTCCCAGCCCTCGTGCTTCCTCCAGGTGGCATGGCAGTTAGGCACCGAAAGGGTGCTACAACTGAACTGAACGGTGAACGCTAATGATAGAATCACTTTCTGGAGACGATTAAAGGCCATTCGGAAGGTTTATATCAGGTAATTCAAGTCTGTCTATGTTACACAGTTTATCTTATAACGGTAATGCCTCAGCTCCGTTCTCGGTCTGATCATCTTAAGCCAGTATTTTCTGCAAAAGAACCATCAAGGGTACACATAGTGTATTTAACGCCCAAGACGAGGTACAGCGCGCCGTATTCAGAATGTATGCGGCCAGAACGTTTTGGAAATTCGGAAGCCTTCTGGACGCGGTACTGGCAACCGGCATCCAGCATATACTGGATTATGATTGACTGTCGGGTCCACACTCAGGTATTCAGAGCTTGATGCTGGACCCGCAAGTGACCCAATATTGGGCTAGCTAGGTTTCTTGACGGTAACAGCGGCCAACCGGGAGCGGTAAGGCGATTTTTGCCAGGGCATCATTTCGCCTCACAGTTAACAATTTTAATTTGAGACCACTGATTAAGTACAGTTAGTCTTTATGATAAATAGTCCTCGATTACTCTGATAATCCGCATGTCAATCTGTGCCAATTTCACGCAGACTGGAATCCGAACCGTGCAGCCTGTTACCGTATGCAAATACGAGATGATAGACAGTTCCCATACTGTACCTTAGACTACAGTGAATGCGAGGTTTGCTATATCAAGTGACTCAGGTTTCTTTGTGGATGATGCTCTTTACAGGAAAAAGTACGGTTGGGAATAGAATAGGCAAGATAAGAACAACAAGAAACGGATTCCGGGACGATAATTTACCAAAGTGTGTGCATTTTCGTATGCTATGTTCATTTTTTATTCGGACAGACTCACCCAATGAGAGAATTTAATGAAAAACTGACAGACAGTAGGTTTCCTCAGGGGCCACCAACTTGTTACACAATCCCTGAATAGGGGTCAGTTAGTTTAGGTTCCGCCTGGTAGTTCTAGTGAGGGGGGACCGNCAGTTAGTTTAGGTTCCGCCTGGTAGTTCTAGTGAAGGGTGGACCGCTGTAGCCGAATTCCCACATTCCTGCTGCTGTTGACACCTTTGAGTACATTACATTTCCTCATGATTTTGACTTGTTTGCTCGTGAACTCACCTTCGGTGACTCCCCTGTTGGAACCACCAACTTTAATGCGCGGTGAAGCGTTCACGATCAAGGCTCAAACTGAGCCATAACAGTTATTTGACTACACATTCCCCGCATTCACGTCAAATTTATGTTCTACTTTAACCCTAATTGGGCAGATTTCAACAAGTACACTGATTTGCATATCAGTTTGCTTTTGACTGGAGTTCACCCGGAACCCAGCTGAATCTCCCTCTTGTGGCATTCTTCGAGTGTCCTTCACATGGGCTAAAGGATGAGGCGATTCTTGTGCAGCCCATGCAGTTGACGAATACCATAAATGAGAGATGTAGCTGGGGTTTAAGTAAGAATCCCAAGCAGTCCAAATTCGTGTGCGGCTGAGTGTACGTGGTGAATTTCACGCAATCTGGGCTCAAGTAGAACATGTTTGCTGATGGGAAACTCGGGGGCTGTGCCTACCAGATGACCCCCAAGAAGGGGAAAACAGGTTGAGACCTAATTTCTTGTGCCGACTAACAGGATTGCGAAAAAACAGCCCCCCACGCAACCAAACGTTTACTGGTGAAACTGTTCACAAGAACTGCATTTTATCTTACTGTTTCGTTAAGCCGCAATCTACTCCCTGGCTGGCGTTCAAGCAAAACGTGGTTTAATCGAGAGCGCCATTTAAAAACCAAAGAAACAGCACATAATCAATGTCCAATATTGATGCTTCGCTGATGTACAACCATAATTTATTTGAAAACCCTATTGATATGCAAATGGGTGTATTTGTCGAAGTTGAAGCATCTTTGTTCACTCGAAAATCTTAATCACTATGCTGTGTACTTACCAAAAACACGCCATTTTGACAATCGGTAGCCTTGTTCAGTTACTCCGTTATTCGGATGTCAGAATCCGGGTCATAGTTTCCCTTTCAGTAACGTCAGTTTGCAGGATGCTGCGGTTTAAATGCAGATGCAACGCCTACAGCTGCCAGACACTTTCGAAATCCGTGCAAACTAGGAATAATAATGGAGTACAATGACCTTCATGACTAATGGATCAGCTATTCTCAAACATTGAGCCAGTGATGGTACTTTTCGTGCACTATTAATAAAATGACCTCCATCGACGACAAACCAGACATGGCTTCTGGGCGAAATACGCCGCTTCATAACCCGGGGTTTCGGTTTTAGTATACCTTGTCTTGAGTTGATTAGCGTGAGCCTCTGAACCCTTGAATTCTCACCTGGTTTCACTCGAAACAGCTGCTGGTCATCATTAGTAGCCGGGAGGGTAGAATATTCGCATTGGACAACATTGATTACCACTTCTCATATCATCAGCCGTCGCATTCTGTTTTGTTGCATGAATGTTTGGACCGACGAACATGTAATGCCCTGTGTAGATTATATCCATTCACTGAATGTGTAGACCTCTAGGGCCCCTGAAACAACATTTGTGGACCGTGAACGGCAGAATCAACCGAATACAACTGAATCTTTCGTTTTTGTTCCTCTCCAAGTAAAAACTTTGGCATTGCACCTACATTATGAGTCTCACGAAGGGCGGAACCGGTCATTGGCTATCGAAAAATCTTCAGCAACTTGATGAGTAGAATATTCCATCTGAACCATGGAATTTGTAGCTGTTGCGGGAAAGTTTTAACCATATAGTTCGCAAAGATGTAGCAGAGTAACTAATATGGATTTTGAGGCGGAATGGATCGAAACAATCTTCTCAGTTTGTCTTGGCTTGTGTGGTTTTATAATTCTGTCGCACTTATTTTCCGCCCTTTGGTGTTCATGTTGCTAGTCCCGTAAATCGTTTTCATTTGCTACTTGACTTGGTCACTTGCTGAACTAAGGTCAGCCATTTTCATTCTCAGGGAGTCACCCGATCTTATCTAGAGTCACATAGGACATAGTCACATTCGTAGCCGGTTGTAGCTGCTAACAGTTACTGCCTACCTCTTCCAAGTCCAATCTTGAAACGTCATGTGAATGTTTTTTTTAGTGGGTGCCGTGTTCCTTCCATTGGGGACTTATTGCGAACTGTCTCAGATGCGTTTGTGTTTTTTTCCAGTTTTCCTATTATTCCCCAGAGATTAAGCATCCTAATGTCACCACCGTGCATTTACTTCCAAATTTTCCTCTCATGCGCCATCATTAGGTTTGGCGTTTGGATACCATTGTTGGTATGCTCTATCATGGTCTACCAATGTCCAGTACGGACACCAATATAATGGTTCACACATGCGACCAGGAACTATGCGTTCGCCCGCAACACATTCGGTTTCGCGCCAGTTCCGTGGCTCTTGTTGTCGTGCTCAAAGCACTTGCACAGGCTGGCTACACTGTGATTCCTCCACCGATTCCCGCTGGTCCCGATGGAGTCGCTCCTAATGGTAAGTTCTGGTACTATTTACTTTAAATGGCGTTCACCTATGCTACACATTTACTTTGGTAGTTTTGCTTTCAGTCGCATCCGTCAAATGCTTGTCCCTTTCAGTGAGCATTCTTCGGTTATAAATAATAAACTTTTCATACTCAATTCCGAAGCTACTCATCCTTTGGATGCATAGCTACGATGCCTCTGCATAGTACCTTCTACGGTCAGAAAGTTTCGTCCGTCTTCAACATCCTCTTTTCGTTTATCTGATCGAGTTCTTTCTGGGCCATTTATCTCCTAATGTGCCAATTTTGTGACTACTTTCTGCCGCCCGGAAATTTTCGTGCATAATTCAGTCTGTTTTGATGTGTTGTGGGGGTCTGCACACCCACGCCTATTCAAGGATTTGTTTTCTATTCCGTCCGTTCACAATAGATTGAGTTGTAGAGAAGCATGAAGAATGTGACCACGCAGTAAGAGTCCTACTCACACAAAGGCGATCAAATTATACAGTTCGCTCTTCGGATACTAGTGGCTGAACTGTACACGTGTGACCTTCGTTTTGCTTTGACCTCCACACGCGAACACGTGCTGTTGGTCGTAGCAGCTGTTTTTATTGTCCGCTCTATGCTGTCTGGTTCCACCACCTGGCTTCTAAATTGCGACTCAAAGTTGTTAAGCCCAAGCTTCGCTTTATCACGGTTCCGAAGCCATTTTTCAAACCGCGAAGCAAATGCTGAGGCAGTGACAGGCTTCGCGAAGAGTAGCTAGGATCTCGTCCATGAGTGTGAACTGACAGATTATTTATGGCAAAGGTGTGACCGGAATTCGTAGCCTTCCGGTCAATTGCTTTACAAAAGGAGATGCCGAGAGCGCTGAACTGCGTTTCGTATGTTTACTTGAACTCCACATTACTCAGCACATTTCAGTGCTTCCATGAGCACTCTGTATCATATCTTCAACCAAATGTTCAAGCCGACTGAACAGAGCATAGCCCCTTGGACGCAGTTGGTCTCGATAAGTCAAGAGTGAACTCAGCTGCTACGGATCAAACAACCTTAGGATATCGAACTTGATTTCTTCGGTTTTGCAGGTGCCGGTAGACAAAAACCGTGCGGCACCGAAGCTGTCGTATTTTCCCAGTTCCGTCACCGAAACACTGAAATCAGTTTATTTCTGAATTCCAAAAGTAGAACTTCAGACTGTTTTTTCTTCTTGCTATCGGGCTCCTGGACTGTCTGATTTCTTTTGAAAGCAATCAATGATAATACCGATATGATTTTTTTTGTAGTTATGGACCAAGACATAGTGTGAACTTTACAAAATGATTCTCTTCAACTGAATACGTCAGAATAATTTATTTTAGGTTGTAAATTGAGCCAGAACAAGCGCCCAAAACGCGGACAGATTTTATCTGTTCGGTCATTACTGGACTACTTGGATGGTGTCTTCTTGCTTCTAGACTGTCTGTCAGTTCACCGATCCAATGCAACCTTCGCCGCTGCGAGGCTGTCCAATCCTGATGAGTGGATAGTCTAGCTTGTTTGTCATTAGCGGTGTTGCTAGGCCGGCCGATGTGGTGAACGAACTGTTCGGATTGGTTTGGGTTCCCCAAGTTGCTTATTATACAACTAATGGAAAGAATACGTCTTTGAATGCAGACATCTACAAAACTTTTTTCATAAGGTATGTAGTGGCTGGTGTAGGACGCCGTTTCGTTTGGCTGCCCGAATAGTCCGTGTCGCCTTACGCCAAAATCTTCGGTACATCCAAGACACTTCAGCTGGTGTACCACGCACTCAAAGCTATATTTTTTGCCTACTCTACACTATATCTACAACATACCTCAGCAAGTATACCCTGGTGAGAGCATGGTTCAAAGAATACGAGATAATCCAGCCGTCGGAGCCCGACTAGGAGGTCCGCGGTCCGAGCGTCACCCTGGCTTTTCGATTGCTCCTGTCTCGGCTTGAGCAACGTGGCAGTATCTCAGCCTTGATGCTCTCCTTGAGTTGCACGCCAGTCACGCACACGTGATAGACCAATGTATTATGGACCTTCTGATGGTATGTACTACTTTTTTGCGACAATCCTGAGAACTAACTAGGGCTTCTCTGTTGATGATCGAGTTAAATACAGACTTTCTCAACCTTTCACTCCTGTTGGGACTTTCGAGTACAGTCCTTTTTATCTTGTTCGATCTTTGCAGCCGAATATTTAAGTGAGTTGCACGAAAAATACTGAATTAGATATCGAACTTGTATCGTTCTCTTATGGATAATATAACTCAGTTGCCTGTTTGGAACAAAAGAAATGCTTCGTGGGAGGTATATGGGTGTAAACTACCTACTGTAGTGTGCCACAAATGTCAGTAAGCATCGCTTGCAGAGAAGTAGCCGCGTAACTTGCATAGAGGATGAATTTGGGTTCAAGATTTCCGTGCTGGATGACTGCTTGTCGCTTGTAACATTGAGGATACCATCGTAAGACGAAAAGTTCATGTATCGAAGCAAGCAGTATGACAGTATGGATGCGAACCGATCACACAAACTGAATATAACCTTTTCCATCAGTGGTTGTACTGCGTTTTTGGTTTGAAATTGGCTGGTTCTTTGTATGTTAACACAATGCGCAACGATGTCCTGTAGATTTTCTAGTCTCAGTGAGCATTCTTCGGTTATAAATAATAAACTTTTCACACTCAATTTCGAAGCTACTCATCCTTTGGATGCATAGCTACGATGCCTCTGCATAGTACCTTCTACGGTCAGAAAGTTTCGTCCGTCTTCAACATCCTCTTTTCGTTTATCTGATCGAGTTCTTTCTGGGCCATTTATCTCCTAATGTGCCAATTTTGTGACTACTTTCTGCCGCCCGGAAATTTTCGTGCATAATTCAGTCTGTTTTGATGTGTTGTGGGGGTCTGCACACCCACGCCTATTCAAGGATTTGTTTTCTATTCCGTCCGTTCACAATAGATTGAGTTGTAGAGAAGCATGAAGAATGTGACCACGCAGTAAGAGTCCTACTCACACAAAGGCGATCAAATTATACAGTTCGCTCTTCGGATACTAGTGGCTGAACTGTACACGTGTGACCTTCGTTTTGCTTTGACCTCCACACGCGAACACGTGCTGTTGGTCGTAGCAGCTGTTTTTATTGTCCGCTCTATGCTGTCTGGTTCCACCACCTGGCTTCTAAATTGCGACTCAAAGTTGTTAAGCCCAAGCTTCGCTTTATCACGGTTCCGAAGCCATTTTTCAAACCGCGAAGCAAATGCTGAGGCAGTGACAGGCTTCGCGAAGAGTAGCTAGGATCTCGTCCATGAGTGTGAACTGACAGATTATTTATGGCAAAGGTGTGACCGGAATTCGTAGCCTTCCGGTCAATTGCTTTACAAAAGGAGATGCCGAGAGCGCTGAACTGCGTTTCGTATGTTTACTTGAACTCCACATTACTCAGCACATTTCAGTGCTTCCATGAGCACTCTGTATCATATCTTCAACCAAATGTTCAAGCCGACTGAACAGAGCATAGCCCCTTGGACGCAGTTGGTCTCGATAAGTCAAGAGTGAACTCAGCTGCTACGGATCAAACAACCTTAGGATATCGAACTTGATTTCTTCGGTTTTGCAGGTGCCGATCGACAAAAACCGTGCGGCACCGAAGCTGTCGTATTTTCCCAGTTCCGTCACCGAAACACTGAAATCAGTTTATTTCTGAATTCCAAAAGTAGAACTTCAGACTGTTTTTTCTTCTTGGTATCGGACTCCTGGACTGTCTGATTTCTTTTGAAAGCAATCAGTAATAATACCGATATGATTTTTTTTGTAGTTATTGACCAAGACATAGTGTGAACTTTACAAAATGATTCTCTTCAACTGAATACGTCAGAATAATTTATTTTAGGTTGTAAATTGAGCCAGAACAAGCGCCCAAAACGCGGACAGATTTTATCTGTTCGGTCATTACTGGACTACTTGGATGGTGTCTTCTTGCTTCTAGACTGTCTGTCAGTTCACCGATCCAATGCAACCTTCGCCGCTGCGAGGCTGTCCAATCCTGATGAGTGGATAGTCTAGCTTGTTTGTCATTAGCGGTGTTGCTAGGCCGGCCGATGTGGTGAACGAACTGTTCGGATTGGTTTGGGTTCCCCAAGTTGCTTATTATACAACTAATGGAAAGAATACGTCTTTGAATGCAGACATCTACAAAACTTTTTTCATAAGGTATGTAGTGGCTGGTGTAGGACGCCGTTTCGTTTGGCTGCCCGAATAGTCCGTGTCGCCTTACGCCAAAATCTTCGGTACATCCAAGACACTTCAGCTGGTGTACCACGCACTCAAAGCTATATTTTTTGCCTACTCTACACTATATCTACAACATACCTCAGCAAGTATACCCTGGTGAGAGCATGGTTCAAAGAATACGAGATAATCCAGCCGTCGGAGCCCGACTAGGAGGTCCGCGGTCCGAGCGTCACCCTGGCTTTTCGATTGCTCCTGTCTCGGCTTGAGCAACGTGGCAGTATCTCAGCCTTGATGCTCTCCTTGAGTTGCACGCCAGTCACGCACACGTGATAGACCAATGTATTATGGACCTTCTGATGGTATGTACTACTTTTTTGCGACAATCCTGAGAACTAACTAGGGCTTCTCTGTTGATGATCGAGTTAAATACAGACTTTCTCAATCTTTCACTCTTGTTGGGACTTTCGAGTACAGTCCTTTTTATCTTGTTCGATCTTTGCAGCCGAATATTTAAGTGAGTTGCACGAAAAATACTGAATTAGATATCGAACTTGTATCGTTCTCTTATGGATAATATAACTCAGTTGCCTGTTTGGAACAAAAGAAATGCTTCGTGGGAGGTATATGGGTGTAAACTACCTACTGTAGTGTGCCACAAATGTCAGTAAGCATCGCTTGCAGAGAAGTAGCCGCGTAACTTGCATAGAGGATGAATTTGGGTTCAAGATTTCCGTGCTGGATGACTGCTTGTCGCTTGTAACATTGA